TCAAGAACTCCGCCTGAATTTGAATTGGTTGTAGTTGGAAGACGGAGAAAAGCCGCGACGTCAACCGGCTTGAGTCAAAGGTCCACGGGGTGAGTAGGGTGCTTTACCGGGAATTACAGGCGAAAAGATGCTGACAGTCATAGGGAGAGACGCCGTAATCGGGACAGTTATCGGGTGTGGACGGATCGAGTCGGTGTTAGTACTGGCGAGGGAGCACAGAGTAGCTACTGCGTAGTTGAGCCAAGGTACCGCGAGTGACGCTCGGGAGTTGTTGTTCCGAGGCCGCAATTGGAGGTGGATAGCCACCCAAAACGACCGTGGGATGGTTACTTCGCTTTTCTTCGTCAACGGTTCTCTGGTGAAGAGGCTGGGAGCCTGTCATGATGGCAGAGCCATCAACGGGTAGATCCGAGAGACATGAGATGACAGCTTCCTTGTGGAGTGCTCTAATAGGCGGCCGAACGCTGTTGTGGTCTAAAGCAACGGTGACTGCGCATCAGATGCAAACGTTATTTGCCTTAGCGAGCTGAATGGGAAGTAAATCCCATGGAGTCTTTTGCCATGTGCTTTTAGCCGAAATAAAGATCTACCTTGTGGAAGACGACCCACTAGCCAGTCTGCAGAGTTCTTTGTGGGATGGTTTCTCGGGCATTTGCCTTCCTGACCTAGAACCTCTTTTTCATTTGTGTACCTTCTTCGCGTATCTACCCTTTGTAATAAATGCCATCCAAACTTGGCTCTCCCAGTATGCTTGAGTCACTTGATTGAAATTCGTCATCCTACGAGCCCCTCTTGCTAGCGTTGTTGATCGACTCTTGTGCGAGTTCGGAAGCTCAACTGAGTAAAGAAATTGTTCAGGTGAGCGAACAAAAGTGGAGTAGAACTCAACCATGAGCCAATCGGACTGGGGTGAAGGGGCCTTTGTTTGCTATGGATAGAATGAGCTCTTGGCACGCATAATTGTTTCACATGGGCTAGGGCTTCTCATTTGCGATTTCTGTCGTTGATACAAGAGGCCAAGCCCTGCCGACATCATCTCGTTGACCTACCCACCGGGCACACGCGGAGTCAGCTGTTCTTGTCAACTAAATGCAGGCGACACCTACTCGCTATACCAAGAAATAAGTTGATGGCCGAGCACTGTTGTTAGTTACTTTTCTGCGCTCATTAGAGACACCCTAGTAGGCCTGACATGTGAACTGTCAGCCTCTGACATGGCGTGCCAGAGGAAGCGTTCATCCACCACCAGTTCTGTAACTACTTCATCCGAGGAGGTCCTGTTGATTTCGACTACATAATATCTGAATTAGCTAATGCATAATCAACTGGGTGGAGGATTATGTTCGG